GGTATCTCTATGTTTATGTATGTATGTATGACTCAGTCGTACATTGGACACATTAAGACTTTCAATTAACAATAGAAGTTTGATTTTACGAGGAAAATATGAGACCATTAATATCTTAATGAGATTGAATGACACAGAGTTTCTAGAAATACTATTAAGTAGTAATTCGTTATTTAGTCTTTTTTAATCTACGATACGTTTTGCAAATGTTAATACTAGGCAAGCAACCGACGTTCCTAAGTAATTATGTTCCTGAACAAAATAGTATCATGTGATAAAAAAGAAATCAACATATCTAAGAAGTTCTAAGCATGACAAACACACCGATGGTTTAATTGGGCGACGAGCCTTTTTAGATTTAGAGCTCGGAATGATAATGATGTATCAAGTTATGTGATATATATATCCAACGTCTTCGAGCTATTCCATCTATTTCAGTATCGCAGCAGTCAATAGTATAATATGCATATAATCCTACGTACCTGCCCAAATACTATTCACTATATCAAAATTACTTCTACGGACCACTTTCGCGTTTATTACTCGTAATATCGTTAGTTTTTTTTTTCCGTTGTTTACAGTTTTCGTGGTCACGGAGAACTGACAGTCGCGCAATAATAATAATAAATGCGAGATTAAGCCCTTATAAAGGCTACCAAGCTTAATAAGCTTTAATCAGAAATTAAAAGATACATCTGAGACTGAAACGAAAATTGAAGAAAATTCTAATATCTCATCTCTCTAATAATCACTCGAAATTAATTTCTTAAGTGGTAGTTAGTTGTACCTACGTGGGTAGCTACGACCGTCTCGCTAATATTTGCGGCGTGACCCTTTCCGGCTTAAGTGGTGGGATATTACCATTTTTTATTTAGGTCTCAAGTTGGGCGGAGGCATTTATGTTGTGGTATCCTCGTAACGTCCGGTGGGTAGTAAGTTTTTTTTTGTTAATCTTAGTTAACAAACGAAAAAGAAAACCTTCGTTCCAGTTCGAAAGGTGTCTTACGTGATAATTTAATTTTAATTCTCACGTAGCTCAGATGCATAGGTATCTTGTTGGCACTATTCAAGAAATAAAACTCTTTGGTATTTTTTTCGTCGGCTTCTAAAGATATGGAGTATTCACGTGATGGCTTTTAATTTAGAGATAATGTTGACTTTTGACCCTAAATAAAACTGCGTGTGATTTTTGCGGGATAAACTCAATAAACTGAAAGTTTCCAGTCATTTTAATGATAGCACAATATTACATTAATTTTATTATCATGATATTGAACGGTAGTCGTCGTCTTGAGTTCGACAGAATGACTAAAGACGTGGCTATGAAAACTTGTAGCAATTCCCTGCTGTCTTTCCTCTTTTCTTTGAATAAATTATAATACGTGAACGATTTATGAACAAAAGTATCGATGTACCTAATTTCCGATATTTCTAATAGTAACTCTTTGGTGAAATTTTGAAAATGGAATATTTGTCGCGCACTATGAATGGCAACAGCGGCAAATGTCAAGTTAATGGCACGGTCCGCGACATTCGGGAAATGAAAAGGTGAGTTTCTACATTTCTGTGTAAAATCAATTAGAAATGAAGAATATGAATTAAATAATATTTTTTCAAATTGAAAATTATTAAATTTTTATTCATATTTGTGTGTATATATAGTGAGTATATTTTTAGCTGGTTATTTTTGAGAGATACTACAACCGTGATTCAAGGCTTCGAAAATGCGACGAATTAACAGATATTAATATAACTTCGCTATAATTTAGCTTAAAAGGTCGAAATATAGTTTCAGACTTGGGGTGATGATTAATTTCATTTTTTAAAATTTAAATCATAATCCATTATAGAGATAAAAATAAAAAAAAATATAGCAAATAGCCGCAAAGGCGTGAACGTCTTCCAAAAAAAAAAAAACAAGATTTTCAATTACTTAAAGATCATAAAATAAGCTGGCATCATTTCTTAACGAACAAATATTAGAAAGTAGAAATGAAAATATTATTGTTTTTCATAATGAAATAGCCAGTAGACATAAAGCGCATATTTTGTCCGTTTATCCATTGCACGCCATGATTGCGTCAGCGAACACGTAACAGCAGGCCTGCATCACGCGATGATATGTCAACAAGCGAGATAGGAAGTTTTATCGTATATATATATACATACATATAAACTTAAAACGTTGCATAACAAATCGTAATTTTTGTTACGTTGTTCTACTGCCGTTATCACACGGCTCAGGCCGTCTTGAGTCAATTGGATTCCTTAACCGAAATAGAAAATTGTCAGGAATAGGGATAGGAAGCGGTGCAGCTGTCCCGTTCGCATTGATGATATCCATGATCATCGGTAACTACTCACATGTTGCAATTGTAGCTTGTGCCTTCGAATTTCCTGGCTGAAAAATTTACGCCTTGTCAAAAGTAAAGTTTTTGTCGTGTTGATTGACCCAAATAAACTAGTGAAAATATTTCCAGTCGTTGGGCTTAATAATAATTATTCTTAATGACATTTTTATCTTTAAATTGAAATGTCGTTTTCGGTGCCATCGATAACAAAGACACTACGGAAGACTAGGTTTTTTAATTGTGTATTCGTCCCGCGGTCGCAAATCTAACTTTTTATGTGATTTTGACCATATTGCCTTAGGGAGTAGCTCTCCGTCTCACACAAGATATTTAAAAGATGGCTAAATCTTGCTGACGACACTTTAAAATACAAGTTGGAACAATCACATTCGGGCCGTCGATCTACCAAACAAACTTACCTGCTCGGTGGAAGATCTTCCCTGTGTTACCCCCCAATTGCAATACGTCAATGATTAATGGACTTCACTCAGAGTATATGTAGTATTCATAATTGCGAACAGAATAAGTGGATCGATTTAGTTGAGTGACTGCAGCCCTATCATGAAAATGAGGTTATAGTCTCAATTGTACTAGAAGAATAGCCGGCCCTAGGCAAAAGCCTATGAATGATTCGTAATAGATGACAGAAATATAATATTCTTTTCATGGTGTAAATGGTAAACCCACAAGTTCCGTACTAGAGCGTGGAATACGAGTAGATACACGAAGCGTCTTTTTAATTATACAGCACTAGTTACTAGTTAAAATAGGGGCAGGACTAATTACCGAGTAGTGAAGGTTGCCTCAAGAGGTATCCCTTTTAATCATGGCAGGCACGTGGGTTTCAAGCTGTGGTCTTCCACTTCCAAGGGATCTATGACGCTATCTACTGAAAGTATTATTGTTTTGCAATAGAGAATAAATACGCTTCTGGTTCCTTATGTCCCCTGACGGGGGCATGGCACAGGCCTCGGGGAGACTCCCTCTTCCCGGACATCACCCCCGCCCTCTCGGCTAGATGGTGATGTATGAAGTTAAGATACGAACTTGATGATAAAAGTTGAATGAATGAATAATGAAAATGGTTTGGTGAAAGTGCAGATGACATAGTAGTTGGGGCGGCTTGCTTTTATTGTTGGTGTATATAAGCCATTGGTTGGTTGGTGTATATTTCTAGTCCAGATCACAGTATTCTTCGTTCTTCTTGATCTTTTCTTTTCTTTTCCCCCGCTGCCGACGCTCCTTATGTCGTCTCTGATTTTATGGTAGTAGATCTTATCTATTCTATCGGGGGAATAAATACCGATCACGTTCAATCATCAGACTGATATATATTTTTCTTTTTCAGTTTTCGTACACATCCGTATGAGTTGTCCGTGTCGAAAACAGGGCGACCAATGTCCGGCTGTGGTACAAATTAGGTGGACTCTTATATAATATACATTAAATACACTATCAATTTGGGCATTTAGTACTAAGCTTATTCACTAGAAGATTTACAAAACAATATTATAATTTCTTAATTATCTGTAGCCTGTAGCTCTATGAAGTAGTAAACACACACTTCAATGCTTATTGAAAGTATCTCTTCAATAACCAATGAAGTGTTGCCGATATTGCTTATTTGATTTTTAGGTATTTAAAAATCGTAGCATGAATTATTGGCATTCGTATTTTGCTTATAAGCATTATTATTTAATGGGTTCTTATCACGATTTTAGTTCCTGATATTTCAACGTGATTACTTTTTCGAGCCGGGTACGGAGCTTAATACATAAGGTTTCCGTACCTAGCAGGCGCGAGGGGTGTGAGGGTTTTTAGGGCCCTACCTACCAAACAACTCCCCTTGCTCAACCAACCCAACTCTCGCCTGAGGTCCGATCTCGGGGTCAGAATTTAACCCAAAATGTAATTACGTTGGGGATTTTTTTTGGTATCGACGGAAGCGCAAGCGACCTTAGTTACAACTATTTAATTAGACAACTATTTAATTAGCACAGTAGCGTCGATCGGCGTCATCTTTTTAGATATTATTTTCCAGTAGAAACTAAAAACTAAAAAAAAAATTATCACGCGCGAACGAGTGATTCATCAACATTAGTGCCATGATCAGCTGTAAGCTACAAAATTGTTTCGTCGTTATCATAACAAAACTAACAGAAACAGAGCGATTGAGCAAAATATTTTGTGTAATGCGTTCTGATTGAAGTATATAAAGTAATTTAGTTTATCTTTTGTAAAAAAATTGCGAGTTTCGTTAGTTAATGTAATTGAAACAGCAAAAAAATAGTAGTCATGTTCATTAATTATTCTGAAATATCTTCAAGATAAATTCAGTTTTATTTTAATTTAAAAATTTATTATTCGTTTAATGTCATTGACCCGAATGCTCCAAATTAAAAGATGTGGTTTTGATAACAATTTTCCTCTGTTAAAAAAATCGTCATTAGCAAAAAAATTCCATGGTTGGTTTTAGAAATGAGTACGTAACTAGTTATTTTGTAATTGTTTTCGTTATCAACCGCAAAATAAAACTGTTTTACACACGGCCGTTAGGTCAAAGACCCAGCGCCATCTGTTATCGGGCGGCTAAAACCACTATGCGGTTCCTATCTTTGTTATCACCGAAACATTTTCCCGTTTTCCCAGGAGCGAATCCGCAATGAGTCCAGCGCCCCCCGCTCACTGTAACAAAACTGGCGTTCCGTTCTCGGCAGTCAAGCAGTCGCAAGCGACAAGCGGACGGAAGTGTACGTATAGCGAAATGGAACGTGATCGTATCGGATTATGGGGCTCCGGGGACGGACAGCCCACCAGCGGCCTCTCCGGCCTCGACCACCTCAAGCACCCCGGCCTCAACAAGGTTAGTTATATACTTACGTAAATCCATCGGCGTCCATAGAGCGGTAACCGTTTAATTCGGTTAGGTCATGGTTGAACGGTTTGTGCACATGCGGCGGTACATGTCCAGTCCAAATGTTTCAGGGGTAAATGCACTGAAATTCGTATATGCAATTTGTTAAGTGACGTTGCTGCAGCATTCTGTATTATTCACAATTTAATGTTTGTATTATACTTTACTCGCGTTTCAAAGTTCACGTGTTTGAACGTAGTGTCAACAAACTTGTATTGCGTCAAATAATATTATGTTAGTAATCCTTGATACGTTATAATTTGACTTGTAAATATATTTTTTTCGCTTTCTAATGCTATTTATATTTCAAAATGTTTTTCTATTTCCTTGGAATACACTGGGTTATTATTTAATTTTACTTTACGGGTACTACAAGCGTGGTGGAGTTTATATTACATCAGATGGTGAGAGGGGAAATACGTGACCTTTTTGTTATTTTTTATCATAAATAATTTGATTTAAATTACTACTCTACTCTCTACTGCTCTATTCTAATTGTTTAATAGTAATAAAAGAGGAGCATTTCACTCAAATCACAACTCGAAAACCCGTTTGTTCACAAATTCAACAAACCCTCACTAATAATCACAATATTTATAATATTTAATAGTTTCATTTATTGTTATTTTTTAATGTATTTTTTTTAACCATAATTCGCAGGAAAAGTAAGCCGAATAGCTACAGACAGATTCTCTTCAAAGAAATTATGTTAAAATCGATTTTTCAAACGTCATAATTCCAAGCGAACATTCATTATTCATACAATTCAAGGGCAAAAAACATACAATTGATTTTTCTGCGGAATATTTGAAGTCTATTAAAGACTATTCAATAAAACTAGTTACATATATGTAAATATATTTTATATACGTAAATATATTTTATCATAATGTAACTTTATACCCAAACACATCTAGCTTTTGTACTTGAGAGGTGATTTCACTCACTGATGTCGTCATAAAGGGTTCACTTAGCTTACAATGTACATTGTGTTACAATGGACATAAGGGACTTAGCGGCGTCATCTTCCACTTTAAGCGAGAAAATATGTTTAGCTCGGAAAAAAATTAAACTTGAGATTCCACCGTAAAATTAGTGATTCATAAATGTATTTAGGAATATTTTGATAGTTCTTAAAACCACATTCACACATTTCCATAACTAATGGTTTGTTCCATTAGTAGATTTTTTCAATACTGTCGTGTCGTGCAATCTCTTTGACAGAACATAAGACCTACAACGACTAGACATAGACTAAGACAGATTCTTGATAAGAATTCGAAAACAAACAAAAGAAAAGAAATGGAACGAGGGCGGACGTGACTGGAGGCAGGCAGTACTTTTAATGCCTTCCTATAAGACGCACACGAACCAGACGACCAGGAACGAATTGACCGTTCTCATATATGTACATAAAATAGACGACGAACGAACGAACCGACCGTTCAAATACTATAAATAATGCCTATTAAGAATGCAGTTAGGTAGGGCTATTCTGCTTATTTGTGTCGCGAACCTGTCATAGGTTCTGGTTTATGTGATAGAGATGCAAAAATCAGATGTTCAACTTCTGAGAGTGTACGCTCTTGCAGAAGTAACCGATGGAACGTGAAAGAGAGTGCTCTTCCCTATCTATCCAAGTCAACCCGAGGCCATCGAGCAGGGGTCAGGAATAGGGCTGTCTTCCAAATTTTCTTTTTTTTATTGGTTTGATGCGTGGTGGTGTGTGATTAGCTCACAGCCCACCTGGTGTTTAGTGGTTATTGGAGCCCATAGACATCTACAACGTAAGTGCGTCACCTACCTTGAGATATAAGTTCTAAGGTCTCAGTATAGTTACAACGTTTGCCCCACCCTTTAAACCGAAACGTATTACTGCTTCACGGCAGAAATAGGCGGGGTGGTGGTACCCACACACTCACAAGAGGTCCTACCACCAGTAATTACGCAAATTATAATTTTGTAAGCACTTTTACAAGCATCTGGGGACACCACAGCAATGGGGTAACGGATGACTACATCGGCCGACCCATGTTGGTTTTGACCCAGTGAAGTATCCTGAGCGTATGCGTTAACGGAATTATCTAGGCGGGCTTCGGATAGCGGTGCGGTTTGGCGTCTGTGAGGATAAAGTAACGGGAACATATACACTTTGCCTAAAACTTTACCCGCACTTGCTGTGACTGAGTCCTGTCTTGTTTTTATGATTAGGTCAGGGAATGTCGAGTGGCAGCGATGGTCGGTTCGATTCCAACATTCCTAACGAGACGTACTGCCCGCTAAGTGTAACGGAAGGCCGATAGGATAATATTCTCGTCACCCAAAAACCCCTCTGCCAAGCAATCCGATTTCACAAATGTTCAAAGGATTGATTTAATCAAGATCTTACAAAGCCTTTATCTCGAGTACCTGTTAAAATTCATATTATAATAACATAATAATATTTTTTGTTGCCGTGGGTACCTACTCGGTTTCTATATCCTCTCGAATTATTAAACGAAAGTTATAAATGAATCTTTTATTTTCGTGGCCAAGTGGTGTATCTTTGTATCAAAGTATCAGTTACCACGTGGATTTATTTAATATCTCCAACGGTAAGCGGGTAATGACTTAAGCATAAGAAAAAATCGAATTTATAAGGAAATAAGTGTTTTGTTTTGTTAATTTTAGTACTAACTACCGAATTATTTAGTTCGAAAACGGATTGACCACAAATTATGGTCAGTAAATGTTTTTATTTTCACATACTAAATTTAAATGTAATATTTATAATTTTATTTTATTTATTCGTGACAAATAACGAGTGAATTTATATTGTTCGCTTAAACAGGAAAACAAAAAATCAATACGTCGCGTTAGTTTTCATTATGTATATTGGTCATCTGTGGGAATGTGATACTGTACACTCATTGGATATTTTATATCATCAAAATAAATACGAGTATTACTTAAAATGACAAGGAAACTATTAGATTTTTCGAAATCTTGTAGTCTTTTTTTGTGCATAGCCAAGTACCAGTTGTGATGATTATTGAAATTATTCTCGCCGTTTAATTTGATTTATCAATTTGCCAATTTTTTATATGTTTGTTACACGGTATCCATAATTGACTATTTGTAACAGCATTACCTTTCTTGACTATTCGTTACTGTTGTATCATTATTATTATACTTAATGAGATCGGACCACATAATCTCAAATAGTTGGCGTCGGTCTTTGACTACAGCAATTCTAAAGGCAGATAGCCAAGACACTTCCTACCGTCAAGGATTTTTTGAAAACTTTTGAAGATGAAAATTAAAGATTCGTTACATTTTCCATTTACTTACTATAGGTGTGCCGAACGAAGGCCGCTATTATGTCTACTCTTACATCATACACTGTATTTTAATATGGTGTTAATAGCTGACTTGGGGTATATCTTTACGTGGTGGAATTTTGTTATTTACCATAAAAATTCTGATGAGTATCTATACACAATAAAAAATAAAGAGCTTACATAGGAACCTTAATAGGTATTTTATAATTTTGCCTGCCATTTTGTTGTTGTCCTAGGGTACCCCGCTGGTACATAGGGCCCTCACAAGTTGTCTCCACTTGACCTTGTCTTGCGCTTGCTCCTTGTTTTCACTCCAGGTCACGTTGGCAGTACTCATCTCACTCTCCACAGTGCGTCGCCAAGTATATACAGGGCGACCAGGTCTTCTCCTGCCAAGCGGTTGCCGCTCGAAACGCGATTGATGCTGCGTTGACTCCACTGCGCCATAATTTGTCCTATCCAACGCAATTTCCGATGGGCGATATCTTGCGCGATGGGGGTTTGGTCATATTTAGTCCAGAGGTAGAAAGAGATTAGAGATAGTGACTGGCTAGAATAAGCGGAGTATCGACCTCAAGCACTTATTTACAAACATCTGCAGTTGGTTCGTGAGTGTGTTGGTCACTCTCCAGGTCGCAGATTAAAACATGAGAACACTTTTGTCAATGGAGTCGAATAGGGTCAGCGTGATTCATCGAGTCATGGCACTTGACTCCCAGACTGGTTTCAACTGCGCGAACACATCCCTGGCTGTCCTGATCGTGTCTCTATACCCTCGTCCGAACCACCCTCGTTGGATATGGAATTCCCCACTAACTACAAGACACAGTTTTGGAGCTTTAAAGGTGTTGTGTTTTTCACATTACTCGCATGTCGACGGTTTAGTTGGTGTTGATACGCAAGCCTCTTTTCTCAGTAGCCATATGGATATCCTCAAGCCTTGTTTCCATCTGATCTAAGGTCGGCGTCATTAACGCTATGTCGTCCGCATAGTCAAGGTCCTCTAAGATATATTCGCTCCATTCAATTCCCCGTGGTGTAGTCACTACTTCTCGCATTATGCCATCCAGGAAGATAATGAAGAGTAACGGAGAGAGGAGACAACCCTGCTTAACACCGGCTCATATTGATCTCATATTGATATTACGTTCCTTAAAATATCAATTATAGATGAAATTAATTTTATTCCGGCTACCGAGAATATTTCCGGAGTGGGTGTGTCATAATAGACACGTCACGACCATGGCCGAGCGTTTGTTTCAAGGTTCCGTTAACGTGTGGTTTTTACTGATTTCGTATTATGAACGGAATGACTAAGTGATTTTTTTGAAGTTGTGTGTTTTCGAACGTTGTCAAGATAACAAGCAGGCAAGGTTTTCCGTACGGTGTCCGTTATGATTTAATTATTTATAACATTACCTTTTATGTTAAAAATATGTTCTTTTTTGAAGAATACCAATTCAACAAGAAATACGTTGCTATTTAATTTTCATGACAGAAGCCGATAGAAATGGAGTTGTAGTACAAATGGACATAGTTTAATACGTAATAGGATTCGTCTAATATTGTAGTTTCATACGTACTCTGGATGAAAGTATGTTCAACATAATTCAAATCTAGAACCAATCT